ACCAGCTCACAGGAAAAACCACCTGATTATAATTCCCACAAAGATTTGGTGTTATTTCCTCTAATATCTCTGGGTTGAACCTTTCCTCTGAGCCTCATTTTTCTTTTCTTTTGTTTCTTTCTTCTTTTTTTTTTTTTAATCAGAATTCATTCTTGGCTAGTGGTCACATTGGAAAAGATCTAATCAAAATTTGCATATAAGGGCCGGGGATTTAGCTCAATTGTTCTGCCGCCTGCCCCAAAAGCGTAAGGACCCCAGTTCAATCCCTGGTACCAAAAAAAAAAAAAAGAATTGGCATAAAATGTTCATATGTTGATAGTTCTGCCTTCTAGAACTGTGTACATATCTCTGAACAATGTGTCCAAACCAGTGTTTCTCATGGTGGTGTACACCTGAAGTCCCAGGACTCCAGAAGCTGAGGCACGAGACTGCTAGTTGAAGGCCAGCCTGGACTATGTAGGGAGACCCTGTCCCCCCCAAAAAACAAGGCTGGGAATGGTGGCACATGCTTATAATCCCAGCATCCTGGGAGCTGAGGCAGGAAGATTGCAGGTTCCAGCCCAGCTTGGACAATAGCAATTACACAAGACAGTGTCTCAAAATACAAAAAATCAGGCTGGATATGGAGGTCAGTGCAAAGACCTTGGGTTCAATCTGTACTACAACAAAACGAGCAAACAAAAGTAAAGCAACAAAACCCTCAGTGTTCCTGTTGGATGTTTTCAAAATTCAGTGGAAAAGTTAGCTTAGGTTAGCTTTTTTTTTCTATTCAGAGTACATCTTTTTTTTTTTTTTGTACATGGTCTCCCTATGTAGTTCAGGCTGGCCTTGCACTCACTATGTAGCCCAGGCTGGCCTCACTCGTAGTGATCTGCCTGCCTCAGCCTCCTGAGTGCTGGGATTACAGGCGTGTGGCATCATGCCTAACTTCAGAGTAAGCTCTGAAGATGAGGCCCTCTTTCTTTAAGGACTTTGGAAAGCGCTGAATTTTTTTTTTTTTTTTGCTTTAAACAATTTATTTAACTGAAATGCCATATACTGACTCATTTATTTTGATACATCTTATCCCCAAGGTGATTTAGAGGATCTTCAACTCAATATAAATATTTCATAAATATTTGGCCATTTGGGTATACATTGGACAATACCTCACATCTTTCAGCAAGAAAAACACTGAAGAGTGAAGACCTGACACAATTAACTGGGTATAATGAGAATCTGCTCCAAGTATTTGTTTCATTGAGGTAAAGGCAGCACGCACCTGTTCAATTAAGAAAACCATCCTTACAACACAGGACGATTTTTTATTTTTAAGTAGTGCTTAGGGCCCTCAGCCACTAATTAGGTGCTGCCTGGCAGAGCTATGTGCCCAGTTTATGCCATGAATTCACAGGGAACAGGTTCCAACAACTCAGGCTCCTTCCCATTGGTTCTCACAAAGGGTGCTTCTCTGGGTGGGGCAGGCTGGTGCTTCAGTTGAATCCAGGTACCTTTCTCTTTGGCTTCCTTCTTTTTCTGATCATTTTCCTTGACCCATTTTAGGAAGCTATCTTGACTCTTTGAATGTTTAAGATGCTCAATACGCACATTAATCCTCTTGGCAAGTTTCTTGCCCTTAACTTGCTTGTTTACAACAATGCCAAAAGCATGCTGGGTAACCTTTTAGACTCTTCCAGTTTTGCCACGGTAACATTTGTGTGACATTCCTTTTTGAACAGTACCCATTCCCTTGATGCCTACAATGTCACCCTTTTTATAGATTTGCATGTATGTGACCAAAGGAACAACCATATGTTTTCTTTCTTTCTTTTTTTTTTTTTGTTACCGGGGATGGAACTTGGGTCCTTGCGCTTGCAGGGCAGGCAGCAAAACCACTGAGCTAAATCCCCAGCCTACAACTTTATGTTTTCTAAAAGGCCTAAAGAAAGTACACTGGGTTCCCCTCCTCTTTCCCTTTGTGTTTGTCATTTTGGCAAATTACTAGAAGATGGTGGCTCCAGGGTGAAAGGAAGAACTGAATTTTTTTTTTTTTTTTTTT